AATGCAGTGGCCATCGAAGAGCCCTGATTTAAATCCTATCGAAAACGTTTGGGGTGTACTCGCGCGAAAAGTTTACGCCAACGGCCGTCAGTTCGAGAACAAGGCAAGTTTGAAGGCTCAAATCATCCAGTCGTGGAGCGAAATCAAGCAAGAGTACTTGCAAAGCCTCGTCGAAGGCATGCCAACACGAATGGCACAAGTTATTCTGCGCCGAGGTCAATGCATTGATAAGTAGGGAGTGTAATCAAAGTGCGTCTATAGAAACCGGTCAGCCCAAATGTGGAAAATTGTCGATTGTGAAAGCTCTGCACATCGAATGGCGATGGCGACTTAAAGGATGCCTATTTAGAAGGATCCCACATCAAACTGCAGCAACTGAAACGCATTCCATCATCTCGAACTCGAATATTTCGAAGTGCGTCTATAGAAAACGGTCGGACTGTATTTTGATTTTCAGTATTTTTCAATACTTGCGAATAGTATTCAATACTTAGTTCACGCAAATATTCATCTACTGATTTCCCCCCCGACTTTTAAACGGTCGACTTGAAACAAGTTTCAAAGGAAACAAAAATATACAGGTACAAATTATGACAACTGGATGGCAGCAACGTGTTAGCCGAAATTCGACAGTTCAGTGTCGAGATGCCTGTTCGATTCCAGCAGTTTACCACAGTTTCCTGTGACACAGAACGCCAGGCATCCTTTGCCCACGACATTGCCTCTATCAGAGGTACCTCATTAAGGCCGTCCTGCCTGCCAGTCATGACTGACTCAATCTGTTGCAGGGCGTTCGTCAACTGTCACTGCTTGACTTTGGCCTTGAACGACGCGATGATGCCAGCGTCCTGGGGCTGGAGGTGCGCAGTTGTATTCTTTGGCAACATATTTACACTGCGCGCCACTAGGTTAGACCCGCGTGGATTTTGTTCTGTACAGTCTGACCTTTTATGATATGTGGCAAACAATTCAGGGCCCGACACCTGGAGACATGCTTTGTGTTAAAAATCAATCATTTAATCACGTATGTTGTCTGTAATAGCTCGATCTGCATTGTCATGACATTATACTCGCGCCAGAAGAATAGAACCACACCACAAATCACACAAAATGCTTGTTCAAATGTGCATTTGTGACGAAGTCTTGGCCGATCCCACGCCACTCGTCCAATATGGCCGTCTTGAGGTCAGCAACGCATTGAAACTGCCGGCCGTTTCGATAGACACGTCGCGCAAGGAGGCCCCAAAGGTTCTCAATTGGATTCAAGTCAGGAGAAAGTGGGGGGTGGTCAAAACGATCACATTTTCATCTTTCAAAAATTCTTTCGTGTATTTTGATGTATGAATCGAAGCGTTATCTTGCATAAACACGAATTCATCAGCATAATGACAATGTGCAAATGGAAACAAGTAGTTACTCAATGTTTCAACAAATGCAGATGAATCCTGAGTACCAGAAAGAAGAGCCAATTCAGACAAACCAGCAGATGAAAACGCACCCCAAACCATCACACCACCCCCACCGTTCCGACGCGCGAAAAACGCGTCCTCCTCCTTGCGCAAATCATGCCAGTAATGCTGAAGCCCATCTGGGCCATCGAGGTTAAACAAACCTCTTCTCATCAGACCAAATAATATGTATGGTCCCAGGTATGTGGCTTCGCGAGGTGCATTTTTGCGTAATCCAGTCGCATTTTCTTGTGACGGTCTTTCAACGCTGGCATCGCCTTCCGCTTCTTGTAGCGTAGGTTTGGGGCTCCCATGAGTCTCCTCTGGCATGTTCGAAGAGAGGCAGCCAAATTCAGGCTTGTCTTGAGGCTCCGGGCTGACAAGCCTGTCATGGATGCCTCTCGGACGAGCAACCGGTACTCTGAACCAACGACAAGGGCCGCCTTGCGGCCCTTGAATTTCTTCCCGTATTGTTCTGGGTCCTTCAAAAACGTCCTGACGGCCTTCGGGGATCTTGAAACCTCGGTTGCGAAAGCACGGATGCTCAATCCATGCTTGTGGAGGCCAATACCATTCCTTGCCTCATCGGACTCAAGAGAGGTCCCAGGCCCATTTTATGTGGCTCAGAGGACAGCTGATTTAGCCTACATTGGTTTTGTTCAGTTTATGCATCGTCTGAGGTGATGATTTTACTTGCAGAGCGAAAATTCTCAAATGTGTCTATCCTAATGGCGCGGGATTTTGAAGCGCCTCATCAAGATTGGCCCATTCTGTTTGTCATTTTTATTGACCAATCAAACTAGTTAAATTGCGACTCTCGTAAAGTCTCAATTCTTGATTGGTTTCACAGGATCATCAAAAATCTATGTGAGTCTAATTATGTGGCGCGCAGTGTACCTTGACATTTGTCAGAGCAGACTCGTCGTCGGGCCGATGCGGTGGCGCGTTGTCGACCAAAAGAAGCACTTTTCGGTCTTCACTCAG